TAATATTTAAAAATTTCTATTAATGTTAATTTAAAGAAATACACAATAGTATGTTTCATTTAATTTGTATAAATGTATTATAAAGCGTTTTTATGAAGAACATTTTTGTTCGATATACACTGTAACTGTAATCGAACGAAGGTGAAATTTTGGCATAAATTGGTAACACTTATTTGACAGTTGCGGTGTTGACACTTTTTGTACTTAATTATTTTAAATTTTAAAGTGAATACCTACCTCTTGTAAAATCTGTTCTTTTTAGAACAAAATTAGTGTATTTTATTTAAAAAATGTCACGTGAGAATTTAAATAGTCGTTGTAAAGAGATGGTAATACTTTTGGAATAATTATATGATCTATTTGATTTAAAATGGAGTCAGGATTTTTTTATACTTTGGCAACTATGTCAACTTCGATCTCTGACGTAGATAATGACGTGCATCGGTATGTAAATTAGATGAAGTATAGGTATTATAATTATATTAAGTGCTCTTGTAGTGCTATATAATTGTATATGTGAGAGTATGAAATACATATATATCTATAGGTTATGTTCATTGCTCGAAAAACCAATTTAACCATAGTTTCAGTTCTACAAATATCTATAGAATTGGGCGCAATCGAATGTGGTATATAAAATTCCATGTAAAGACTGCCATTTGAAGTATATTGGTTATAATAAAATGAAATTATTATTGAAATATAATAAACTCAATTATTATTTGTTTTATTTAAATGCAAATGGCGAATTCGGCTTCACTTAATCTGTATCTACCTTTTAGTATTTAAATTTTAACGATATATTTTTCTTACCTCAGGGTAAGAACATGGGAGTAGAAAATTGGGCAAACAAAATAATCGAAACTGATGCGTACGACACTCAGGGAATTGTTGGAGAGCTGGGTCGTGGATAAGTTTAAATAAATGGGTCGGATTGGGCTATCTACAAAATGAAAACAAAGGGATACTTACATAAATCTCCTGGGTCAATTATGAATAAGATATGGCAGACAAGGTTACCTCTAGCTATTTCTATTCGGACGCCGCTTCGAAGAAAACTTCCTACTGGAAAAAAGAAAATTTCTTCTTCTGTATGAACCAGAACCAGAAATGGTTCCTGGGTTATTTATTAATATTGCCAAATTAGAATGTTAAATTAAGGATATCCTTGGTTAAGAAAATATCTTAAAATTTAACCTTATATATGAAATACCTTTTCTATATAATAATAATAATAAATAATTAAAGTAAAAAATAATTAAAATTGTTTTAAAACAACAATGGATTAGAGCCAAAATGTCATATGTCAACATAACATTGTAAGACAAAATAAATTATGACATTTTTTTAGACACACCTCTAACATAATATAAAACTTTAATTTTTACAAAGTCATGAAAGCAATTATTAATAATGTCTATTTTACTTGGAAAAATTAATATATTGAATGTTACCTTATTTCACATATTGCACTAAAAAAACTTGTTACGTCTCTGGAGAATCTATCTGGACATATTCTCAAAACTGGAACAAAAGAAAACCATTTCCATACTCAGAATACGTAAATCAGGTTCGGTGGAGGAATCAAGCTGACGAACAAAACTGGTGTGACATCCTATATAATCTTTTTCAAAATTTCATCAGTTCCGGTGTACTGCACAAATCTTGTGGTTGATACTCTGTTCTAAGATGCATTTAATGCAAAGAGTATTATAACCGTAGCCAGTCTAAAGACATTCAACGCCAAATAATTTCCCCTCGCGTCTACGGAACCTAAACAAACAATCATACCTCTCGACCCTGTTCGTAACAACCTTGAAATATTCCCAGCTTTTAAAACGGTAGAAACAACACGTACTAATTGGGGGATTTTGAATGTAAACAAAATCGTTTTCAACGACAAAAACGTCTATATTTTTACCTGACAATGTAACAAAATGTTCTGATTTGAATGTATACAAAACTTGAAATATTCTTTCTAAGAATCTCTTCTTCAACCGAAATATTAGGGGACTTGTATGTAAACAAATACAAAAAATATTCTCAGTGAAATTACGTATTTAAGATCTCAACTTAAGATGCCATAATATATTGATCGTTTTTAAAAATTCCTTTATAAAAAACAATCGTATAAAACAACTCAGAAGCGTACTACAAAATTTAATACAGGATTTATATTATTATATAGATATTAAATATGAAAATTTAAAACGCTACAAACTCTATAACGTAGTACCACAGAATAATAAACAAACAGAATGCCCACTCTCCACGGAAAATTAAGTACGCGCATCTCCTTCGCGCAGACGTTCCGCCATGTTTTAGGAGGATTTTAAAGAAATTAGTGTTGTTTATGTGGTGTGCATGGAAAAATTAACCAGGTTTATTTGACTTACGCCAATCATAGACATACTATACAATTATATTAACAGTTTTAAATATAATATAATTAAACATAAATGTAAACAATTGCATAACCTCACAAATCATATGTTTGTGTCCTCCTAAAACATGGCGCGCGTGCTGAAAAACTTCAAAGGCGGCATCTGAGAGTGGCCCTTCTGATTGTTTATTATTCTGTGGTAGTACCATCGAGCAATAAGACAAAAGAGGGAATCTAATCGTTATGAAAAGGAGACCAAAAAAGTGGCCTCTGATGGCGGACATATCCGGAAATGCAAATGCGCCAAATTTAAATTTCATGACACTTGACAATAATCATACAGTGGTGTAGGGGTTCTAATTTATCTATTTATTTATTTTATATTACATAATATTTTATATTATATATTTATCTATTTATTTATTAAAATTATTTATCAAAATACTTTTTTTAACACTAGAACACAATAAAGTTTTAATTAATTAATAACGATAATAGTCTAAAATGTTAAATAATTGTTAAAAAACTTCAATAGAAAATATAAATAAGCTGTCATGTGACAGTTTTGACAAACAATAACATCAACAATAACATAACCCAACTAAATTTGATTTATTAAACAAGGAAATATTCTCTTTCCTTGTTTAAAGTGGCCTCTCAAAATAGCACTTCCTGTCTATCAATATGTTTGTCCCCACTACCTTTACATTCCCTCTTTTGTCTTATTGCTCGATGGGTAGTATGTACATTAACGAAAGTATACGCTGAATATAGCCGCAAATATCAACCAAGGAAACAAAATATATCAAAAGAAACAAATATTCATTCGTTCGTGTTTCATATAAATTTAAAAATTTTTTAAAAATACCCGATTTTATAAAGTAATTCGTAGTTCTCTGGTAATATAATAAAAATGAAAAAATGTACTGTTTCAAAGCATATTTGAGGCATAAAACATACACATAATAAGGACATGGCAATACTGCAAACACAAATTTGACATGACGTTTATGTCAAATTCATCCGCACTTTCTCTATACCAGAGATATGTATACTCGGTTCGCTAATGCCAGTCCGAACTATCTAGTGATTTTAGTAATTATGTTTTTACGAAGTTAGTTACTTTTTGACATACTAGAAGTGGCTGGAAATTATTATACAACCAAGCACAAGTGCTCATAGCGCATTTCATTAGAGTATTTCGTCGACCTCTTTTGCAAACTTATACTATGAATTAGAAATTTATAGCATGTACATAGAATGTAAGTTTCTATTATATATAAAAAATATGTTTTATAAAAAAAGTTACGGTAATTTAGTTTATATCGTTAGGTTGTGCCAAATGTAGGCAACCAACTTAAACTTTTTGTTAGCATTTAGCTGGACTTTCTTGAGAATATATTTAATATTTTCCAGTTAATTTATTGTTATTTTTTAAAGTGATGATAATAATGCTGAATAAGCAATATTTCAAATGATATCTAATCACAGGACGTAATTCATATTGTGTTATAAAGTAGGTTAATTACCATTAAACTGGGGATAAGCCACAATTAAAGATAAAAATACGTTTATTGACGTTTCAATTTCCACTTCGGAAATCGTTCTCAAAATACAAATAGTAAATTAAACAAATTTTGTTTTTTTTTAAAGTAGGTTAGATAAAAATATCATAATATTCATATTATAATTCAAAAATATCATTCATCAAAAATATCCAATATCATCAAAAATATAATTAAAACAAATCGTAATATTTTATTATTCCTACTAGAAACTAGTTTTGGACGGCCCGGGATTTTACCTTTTTTATCTAACGTACTTTAGTATAAGGATTTTACATATAAGGATTAAATATCATTTGAAATATTTCTTATTCAGCATTATTATCATCACTTTTAAAAGATAATAAATTAACTGGAAAATAATAAACGTTTATTAAAAATATTCTCAAGAAACTCCAGCTAAATCCTAACAAAAAGTTTAAGTTGGTTGCCTACATTTGGAGCAACTTAACGATATAAACTAAATTACTGTAACTTTTATCACAGCTTTTATTTAATTTTTGACGCCATGTCAAACTGAACTGGATGTTAACTGAAATGTTTTTCAAATATTATATCTTAAATATACGGGGAAAATGTTATGGGTTGGTTTAGTATACACTTCCACTATTTGGAATAATTCTTCTTTTTTTAAAGGAAGAAGTCTGCAATAGTAGTATATTTAAGCTATTAATACTGAGAAGTAGGAATTTTTGTGTTGTAGGTTTCCGACAATGAATCTGTCAAAATATGCCCGAGCTAAGCGAATGGAGAATAAGATATCTCTGCTGTATACCCTGTATAGTATATATATAGAGAAATAAAAATAATACTTATTTTTATTTCTCTATGTCTATACCAAAGAATATAGACGCTTCTATATTCTTTGTCTATACTTTTGCCTGAAATACATAAAATTAAGTGAAGTGTAATCACTGAAGTGCTTATAAGCGTCTATATTCTTTGATCGAACTCTTTGTCAAAGTCCCGGATTTTTAACACCGCGAAAACCTTGCACGGCGAACGTCTGAAAACAGAAAAGTGTATCGTGGAACTGCGCATGCGAATCAGTCAGAAACCAGCCAGGGACTGTCTCCGCGAACGAAACTATTGTGTTAAATTATTTTTGATAGACAAATGGAGGTAAAACAAGAAATTATTGATGAGACATGTCAAGCAGAAAAATATAATGCTTTTGATAATGATTCTTTATGTATTTGTAAAATTGAAATTAAGGAGGAACCCATGAAAGAAAGTACACATGCTACATTTGATTATGTTGCCTTAAAGACTGAAATAGAACAAGAGGAACATAAACTTACTTCATTTAAAGAAAGACAAACAAATCCAAGTGGTGAGTATAAGTAATTAAACCACAAGAGTACTAGTATGCCTAGGGATTGCAGTTATTCACACATATTATATGTCAATCTCTCTAGCTTCTTCTCGGACTTCCTCTTTTCCTTCTCCCTTGTGGTGTCCATGTCAAAATCTGTTTCGGAATCCTGTCATTCTCTGTACGTGGTCGTACCATATTAACTGTTTTGTTTTTATGTCATCAACTATTGTATGCTTGACTTCCATCATTTCTCGTATTCTCTCATTTGGTATCAGATCTCTACTTGATTTGCCTGCTGTTCTTCTCTAGAAGTCCATTTCTGTTGCTAGTAACAGTTTCTCTGTTCTTTGTTTCATTGGCCAAACTTCACTGCCATATGTGATTACACTTTTAAATATGGTGTTGTATATGAGTTATTTATTCACTTTAGATATTGTTTGGTCCCACAGAATGCTGTTCATCAAGGATATGGCTTTTCTACCCTGTATGTTTCTGTCTTTTATAGCAGCATCGAGTGTTCCATCTTGAGTTATCTTCATATCCAAATACTTGTATTCATCACAGTGTCTAATTTCTACCCCATCTTTTAATATAATGGACTGCTTTGTCCCTCCAATACACATGGCTTCAGTTTTCTTAATGTTGACTTCGAGACCCCATTTGTTATATTCTTCTATTAGCTTCTGAGTCATATAACTCAAGTCATCATGATCCTGAGCAATCAGTATTTGGTCATCAGCGAAACATAAGGTGTACAGTGTAGTCTCGTCATTACATTTTCTTTTCCACAGCTTGAGTGCTTGTTCCAGATAAATTTTGAAAAGGGCAGGCGAAATACAGCATCCCTGCTTTAGTCCTTTCGTGACCTTAAATCCCTCAGATATCCTTGATCCAGTTTTAATTTTTGCAGCCGTTCCATTATACAGACTTTGGACTGCTTTGATAATACCATGCTTAATGTTGGTTTGCTGTAGGGTTGACCATAGTTTACTGAGGCGTACACTGTCATACGCTTTTTGTAAGTCTACATACACCAGGTGAACTTCTTTATTGACGACTGTTTGTTTCTCAATAACTTGTGTGATAGAGTACAAGTGGTCTACTGTGGATCGCCCAGCTCTAAAACCAGCTTGCTGCTCTGCTTCGTAATCTCTATATTCATTTTCTATTTTGTTCTTAATAAGTTTCCAATACATCCTACTCATTGTACTGTTTACCGCAATTCCTCTGTAATTTTCACACTGATCCTTGCTGCCCTTTTTGTGGATAGTTGACATGATAGATAATTTCCATTCTTCTGGTAATTCGGCCCCATTCAAGCAGTCTTGAAAGAATTTTCTTAACTGTTCCTACAGTTTGTCTGTACTGGCTTTCACTAATTCTGCAGGGATGTCACTAGGACCAGGGGTTTTCCATTTTTCAGGGATTTGGTTATTTCTTCCATCTCAGATTTACTTATTTGTAATGGCGATGAATTTATATGTATACCTATTGTGTTGTCTTCCATGTTAGTAAATTCTGGTCTTTGTTCTGTTAGTAATTTTTTTAAATATTCTTCCCATTTTTATGTTGTTATTGGTGATATAACGTCTTTTTTCTTATTATTTCTCATACTTTTAATCAATCTCCAACTCTCTGTGCTTCTTCTACCTCCTATGTAGGTGTTGATGTTTTGGCAGTTCTGTTCCCATGATTTGTTCTTTTTTTGAGTTATTTTTTTTTCTTATTTTGGCTTGTGCTTTTTTGTAAATTGTTTTATCGTTTTCTGTTTTTGTTGTTAAGAATGTTTGGTATTTCCGACATTTATCTCTAATTTTCTTATCTATTTCTTCATCCCACCAGTACGGTTTTATTCCTTTACAGTTTTCGTCACATTTCCCCAGTGCTTCTTCTGCTGCTAAATTAATCAACATTTTGATGTGTTTGTAGTGTTCTTCGGTATTTTCAAAATTACCCATTTCTAATTATTGGATTAATCATGTTTTATACAGTAGCTTTATATTCTCATGGTTTAAACTGTCTAGGTTGTACCGTACTTGTTTTAATAACTGAGTTGTCTCGATGTGCTCTTTTTCTTTTTCGTATCTGTTTGAGAATACCGTTTTAACTTTTAGCAGATGATGATCGGTGCCACATGATGGCCCTCTGGCTACTTGCACATCTTGTATTTTAATTGTAGTTCTCTGCCTTACAATGCTATAATCTATTTTCATAAATTTCAGATTTCTGGTCTGTTGTATCCACGTGTATTTGTGTATATCATGATGTGGATAAAATCCATTTAATATTTTTAAGTTATTTTGGGTGCATGCTGTTATTAATCTGGTTCCATTATCATTTCTGGTATTTTCACTGTGTGCTCCTACCACTTTGTTGTTCAACTAACAAAAAATATATTCTATCATACTAACAAACTTTAAACTATGAGCTTACAATACAATTTAATCTAGGCCGTAATTGCAACACTTAGGAAGTTCAATTAGAAAAAATATATTATTCGACAATTTATTAACAAGTGAATGGAGTTATTACTAAAATATTCCTAGATATAGTTTTACAATGTCTTAATTATACACGGTGAAACTATAAAAGATTAAGAAGTTAAGAATAATGTGAGATTACAAATTAAGGGATTAATTTGTGATTGAACAAAACACTTGCCTTTAAATCATATTTATATCATTGACTAGCATTTGGAACTGTTATTTTATTGTGCTTTACATTGTTTATTACATTCATTTCTTCCAAGGTTTTACTTTTATTAGGTACTTTTATTTCAGGTTGTCCTGAGGAGAACAAATCGACAATTATAAAAACATTAACAGAACATTCATCTTTTAAGGAAAAATTAAAGATTCAACACCATGAAGATAGTACATTAAAAGATAGTTTGAAAAAACATTTAGTGATACACCCTGGAGGAAAACCTTACAACTGTGAAATTTGCTTTAAACAGTTCACACGAGCAGGTCATTTGAAATGTCATATCAGAATGCACACTGGAGAAAAGCCTTACAAGTGCAAAATTTGTTTTAAGCAGTTTTCTCAAACAAGTAATTTGAAAACACATTTGAAAGTGCACTCTGGAGAAAAACCTTACGAGTGTGAAATTTGTATTAAACAGTTTAATGATGCTGGAAGTTTAAGAAGACATTTAAGATTACATACTGGGGAAAAACCTTACAAGTGTGAAATTTGTGTTAAGCAGTTTAATGATGCAAGAAGTTTAAGACGACATTTAAGATTGCACACTGGGGAAAAACCTTACAAGTGCGAAATTTGTTTTAAACAGTTCACACAAGCAAGTCATTTGAAATGCCACATTAGATTGCATACTGGAGAAATGCCTTATGAATGTAAAATTTGTTTTAAGAAGTTTTCTCAAACAAGTCATTTGAAAACACATTTGAAAGTGCATTCTGGAGAAAAACCTTACGAATGTGAAATTTGTACTAAGCAGTTTAATGATGCTGGGAGTTTAAGAAGACATTTAAGATTGCATACTGGGGAAAAACCTTACAAGTGTGAAATTTGTTTGAAACAATTCACACTACCAGGTAGTTTGAAATGCCATATCAGATTGCACACTGGAGAAAGGCCTTACGGGTGTAAAATATGCTTTAAGCAGTTTTCACAAAAAAATCATTTGAAAAGGCATTCAAAAGTGCACACTGGAGAAAAAATTTAAGAAGTTTCTTAAGTTAAAAGTTGATTAGAGATGGTGAGATTAAAAGATGACTCACACTGGGATTCAAAACTTACAAGTTTGAAACAGTTCACACAAGCAGGTAATTTGAAATGTCATATCAGATCGCCCACTGGAGAAATGCTTTAAGTTTAAAAATTGTTTTTAGCAGTTTGCTCGGAAACAATGTAACTGAACTTTGGAAGAATGGCGGTTACTAAAAGAACTAAAAATGATTTAAGAGCCTTTTGAAGATGCAACTCGTGTAATAAGTGGGCAAAAATATCTAGTAGCTTCGATGGTGATAATAATCACAATTGGGTTACAAAATGTTTGTGGAGCTTCTCAATAGGGAGATGTCATCAATAGCCAATATGGTCATTAATAAATTGCAAAGAGGTCTCAAAGAAAGCATGGATAATATTGAAAATACTGATACCCTAGCAATGACAACATTCCTGGACCCATGTTTTAAGATTTTAGGGTTTAAAAACCTTAAAGACTGTTGTTCCTAAATTATAACTATCAATTTTGTAGGTTGAAACATATTGACATTTAAGGTACTATTCCGACAACGACTGTAGATGACAGACGGCAATTGCAGTTGCCGCCACGGCAGACATCACTACTTTGAAGTACTGCTGTTAGTGCCGTCGTGAAGTAGGACAAGATGGAGGTGTTGACAAACGAAGAAAATGACTATTTGATTGATTTAGTGTCTAACTGTCCATGTTTATTCGACTGAAAAAATGCGAATTATAAAAATTCACGTATGAAAGAAATTGTTTGGAAGGAGATCTTCGAAAAAGTGAATAAAACCAGTAAGTATACTTTTATTTTTTATAAACCAATTACTATTGTGTACAATTTACGATACCTCTTTGCCAAGATACTTCACCTACTCGGGAACAAAAATACTCTTAATGTGTCTCGAATAGTTAGGCCTCTGGCATTAGCAAAACCACTAGTACTCGCCAATCTAATCATGTTATTAGACGGTATTTCTTCTTCATTCCGGTGATAACTAGGAATCTGTTGTTCAATTTAACCTTCTCGTAGCATGTTGTGCAAGCAACAGGCAGACACTATTAAGTCGTCACAAGTTTCAGGCAAAATCGGTATTGGTACATAAAATATTCTAAACACTTGAGAAAACAAGCCGAAAGCGTTTTCCACTACACGCCGAGCACGAGATAGTCTGTAGTTAAAAATATCTTTTTGGGTGTCATATTAAATCACATATTAAATAATGAAAAAAAAAAAATAACACAAAAATTATTTATTTTACAGGTGAAAGCTGTAGAAAGCAGTGGAAGACCATCCGTCATGGATATATACGATTTAAACGCAAAAATAAACTACCTACTGGATCGGCAGCACCTCCAAGTAATCGCAGTAAATGGCGAATATATAGGCTCTTATCGTTCCTAGATAATGTTCCGCAAGAGAGGTCGACTATTAGCAGCATATATGATGACACGGAGTCATCACAAAACAGTGTTGAAGAACTCGTAGACTCAGCACAGAATAATACACAGGAAGAGTCACCTACTCAACAAGCAAATGCTACCTAAGTACTGAGAGTTATGTACAAACTTTCTCTATCACAGCTGACCAGCAACTCAACCAACCCAATAAGAAACGTCGTCATAATACTAAAGAAGACTAAATTTTTCTCATTTTTTATTTCTAAAATTTTTGTTGTGCCGCTTGAGTTTTTTGCTTTGAGTACTTTCATGTTGCAGTTATCTTGTATTATATTTTTTATTAGATTGCTATTATAGTTTCTATGATCGTTCCTGATTTCTTTTTTCACGTTTTTGTTTAAACTTTTTAGGTCTTTTTGGCATTCCGTTTGTTTTTGAAACAGGATATCGGTGGTTGGGTATCGTTCTCGTTTAATAAGTTGGTTTCGTTCTACTCTCGTCTGTATTTTAATGATGCATGCTGGGCTGATCCATGTCCATTTACGTTGTTTAGATTTTTTAAAGAAAGTGTTGAGACAAAATAAATTTTCATTGTTTAAGTAGTTGTACAACATCTCACCCCTTCCGTTCCTGTTATCCAGCCCAAAAGCGACCGATATATTGTGTGTCGCAGTCTTCTTTTGTACCAATTTTTGCATTAAAATCACCTGTGATTATTACGAAGTGTGATTTTTCTTAGTTCCTTGCTGTTGTCAGATCCTCGTAAAGGATCATCATGTAAGAGAACAAAATCAGCAGCTATAGCATACAATGTTTTGGATGAAAATTTCCATCAACGCATGATTGAGGACCTCCAATCAGGCTGTCCATTATTTTCTATTATTATAGATGTGAGTACAGTCAAAGTCTTGGCAATCGCTATTAAATTTTATTCAAATGTCCATAACTGTAAAAACTAATTTTTTTTGTGCTGTATATATTGATGCGCTCAATAGTGCATTAATAAATCATGGATTGAATATGAAACAAATGGTAGGTTTTGCGGCTGACACCACGAATGTTATGTTTGGTGAAACCAATGGTATTGTTTCAAAAATTAAAGAAATTAATCCTCACTGTATATTTGTAAAATGAGTCTGCCATTCTGTTGCTCTTGCTGTAAGTCATGCTTGTAAAGTTTTACTTAGAAATTTGGAACAATGTATTAAAGAAATATATAGTTATTTTTCACAAAGTAGTAAACGGCAAAGGGAATTGAAAGAATTTCAGGAATTCAGTAATACTGAAAAACATAGAATTTTAAGGCATTGTGATATACTCTGGCTATCGCTGCACATGTGTATTAATAGAGTTTTAGAGCAGTGGGTTCCTCTAAAACTATTTTTTCAAGGTCAGCTTTTGGAAGACAAAAAACAACATGCTTCTTGTGAGTTTATATACCTATAGCTGCTTTAATTACAATCTTATTAAGTTATATTTTTACTTTCTTGATTTTATTTTGCCCATAGCAAATAAATTTAACATAGTTTTTCAGGGAGGTTACCCATGGGTTTTATAATGACATCTCAAGCTTTTTTCTTTCTGTTTTAAGTTGCTTTATGAAAAATAACTATATAAAAACTACCCCAATTTCCAATATCGACCTTAATGCATCCATGCATTATTTACCCTTAAATGAAATGTATTTAGGTGTAAATGTTGCAAAAAATATAAACGAAATGAAAGGTAACGTTCCTGAACCAATTATTAATGATTTTCTCAAAGATGTCAGCTATTCCTCATAGAGTTATAAAAATCAATTAAAAAATAGACTGCCCTTACGAAATGAGATTTTTAAGCAACTTGGCTTTGAAGACCTACAGGTCGCAGTATACCATGATTTTAAAAGTCTCATAGACGTTTTGTTACATACAATTTCCCAATGTCATTATCGAAAATACTCGTAATAAGTAAACAACAGAATATAAAACCGTCTATATATGTAAATAATACCAAACTTGAGCAAGTTGATAAAATCGTCTACCTTGGACAGCAATTAAATTGTAATGCAGAAAATCACGGCGAAATTAGATCCAGAATAGAGCAGGCTAGAGCTGCTTTTAGAAGGATGTCCAAGGTGTTATGTAACAGAGACCTAAATTTGGCAATAAGGATCCGCCTACTTCGCTGCTACGTGTTCTCGGTCTTACTTTATGCTGTCGAGTCCTGGACTGTGAATAAAATCGATCTAAATCGCCTTGAGGCTTTCGAAATGTGGTGCTATAGAAGAATTTTAAAAGTTTCCTGGGTGGAGAAGATTCGTAACTCCACATTACTAGAACGTCTCAGCAAGACTACTGAGATCATAAAAAGCATCAAGCAGAGAAAGCTGGAATATTTCGGACATGTAATGAGAGGTCCCAAATATAGATTGCTACAAAATATCATGCAAGGAAACATAGCAGGCAAACGCAGTCCAGGACGAAGAAGAACCTCATGGTTGAAGAACTTGCGAGATTGGTATGGTGTAGATACAAGCATGCTATTTAGGGTGGCAGTGAATAAAATTAAAATAGCTATGATGGTAACCAACGTTCTGAAAGAACATGGTACATGAAGAATTATCGAAAATAAGATTCAGGACGTAGATAATGAATACAAGGAAATGAAAGTGGATTCTGATGTTGCAAACTTGCTTGTTTCAACTAACAGTGCAGGTAGTGTTTCGGATAATATTGAACAGTTCTGGCATTCAGTGAGCCTATTAAAAGAAAATGATGGAAAATAAAAATATAAAAAAAAATCTCTAACTTTGCGAAACAAATGCTGTGTTTACCTGTTTCCAATGTAAAATGCGAAAGATTTTTCCGCTTTCAACCGCAATAAAACAGATGATCGCAATAAACTTTTAAATAAAAATGTCTCTTCATTATTATTTGCCAAAGAAGCTATGAATGAGGTTGGGAATTGTACCAAATTTGATCCAGATATACAGATGTTATAAGGCAAATCAATGGATGACAAAATATTAAATATGATACTGATAAATAGTTATTTATGCAGTAAGTCAGTAAAGTGATTATTTATCGAAGGAGTCTGACATTACGAGCAGAGCAAGTGAGGCAAGTAATAGATAAGTTCGTTAAAGAGTCTTTACTGACGTAGTACATACAAAATTTTATGGCCAACCATAAACAACATTAATAAATATTCATATTTTGTTTAATCTTTTAAAACCAAATAGACAGCTTGGTTTCGTTTCGCTTCAGGGGTGTTTTTTGTAGTCCCACTGAGAGACTGAAACGGATGTATGGGGATTGTGGATCGTCTTTGAACTGAAATGAAACATAGGTGTCTTTCATTTTACTCATATTTTGAGTACACGGAACAAACTTTCGTTGGAATTTTTCCTAGATGAATAGACAGAATGTGACTGCACAGTATTATACTGCTTTAATTAACAATAACGTAAATTTTGTACAATATTTTTAATAATTAAGGTACCTAAATAAATTTTAAGACCCTCAAATAAATAATCGATTACTGCCGTCACATCATATATTAGTTTCTAAGTTAAGTATTTTTATAAGTTTCTAAGCTGTTATAAAAAAACCTAAATCGTATACAAATATAAAGTTTTAGTATATTTTAGTTTTTTATTTAGTAGATTTTAGTTTTTGATTTAGTAGATTTTCCCTAAACATGCAGTAGATTTACTAAATAAAATGCATAGTATAATGTATTGTGATAAAATGTGGCAAAGCTGTACGAGTACGGCTTGTCTTGTGTAGTGGCAAAGTGATATCAAAGAATATATTCTTTGGTAGTATACATCTTTACTTATATATACCTAATCTATGGTGGTATAGTGGTAAAGCTACTTTCATGTATAGGTAATTGATTTTGCGAATAGCTATGAGTCATACTGACGCAGTATACAAGTTTACGTATTAAAAACTTTCTACTAACTCTCCTAATAATTACGGCTCTTTCAGCTCATTCTTAAATTGTCCACGCGTTAGTCAACTTCGGCTCTCAATTTTGTAATAGTGCAGTAAATGTTGTTTCCTATTTATTAAGTTTTATTATAGTTTGTAGTTATTAATCATATTTACTATTTAGTTTAGTGAAGACTTTTATAAATAATACCTTGTGAATATCTTTTTTGTGTGCAGTGGATTAATTTACTTGATAGTAAGGTAAGTCTGGATTTATTTTGTTTAATATTTCCAATAAATTATATTTTGGTTTATGCCATTTTGTAAACTTTAATAATGAAAGAGTATGTTCTTTTTACTAATGGACATATAGGCAGAAAAATTCAATTAATGCATATGCAATAAAATACACGAAACTAGAATTTATATTGATGAATCCATAATATATTTTTAACACGAGAATAAGAATTTTTCTAAAAACTTGCTGGAGGGTGCCGGTTTACAACATTCCTTCCATGGAGAGGCTTATATGCAACAGTGTCTCTTTCAGCGGCTTTGTTCTTGCTGTAAGCCCAATTAGTCCGCTAGCCTTCGACAGCTCAGTAGAGAAACTAAAATGGACTTTCAAAGTTGCTTTTATCAGGCCTGTTGAATTGATATAGTGAAATAAAACAATTACTTGTTTAGAAAGAAACTGTAATTGAAATAAGAAAGGGCAAGAAGTATAACTTATAAAATTTGAGTGTATAACTTATCGTAGGAACTTAATTTGAATTTTACAATTTGCGAACGAAAGCGAAAACACCATAACACTTATTCACATATTACGGCTTCCCGGCCAATAGCGTAAACTGCAACGTGGAGAATCCTCTCCGAACTTTGAAATGTAGATGTTAGCCCTACGAAAGTCGCTAAATCACTAGCCCCGCTGGAATATTTTTTTGTTTATGCATTTTGAAAAGCCGGTCTGTCGTCAAGTAGGCGCTGTGGGCGGGGATTAACATTCTCAGAAACAAGGTCTAGGTAGACTGGATTTATTTAGGTAACCGACGCGAAAATAGAATTATTTGATACAAAATAGAATTATTGGTTTGGAGATATAGTTCTCCAACACTTGCTATTGTTTATTTTACTAAATAAAGTTAGTACAATAAATCAAATCGGTTATATATGACATAAACATCACATTCCATTATCCCGACGAGCGAAAGGTTATAATACGCAACACAAAGCGCTAGATAGTATTCTTGTTGTTTTAATACACTATTATTTTTAGTATTTATTTCCTTGTATACCTACTAAACTAATATTTATTTCTACATTTAACTAATTTAAGGGTGAAATAAACCAAATATATTATAGTTATTTCTAAGCAGACATCAATACAAGCTATTAACGAATCGTCAGCAATGTTAGAATACACGGAATTTAGGAGCAAACCTTTGAAATGTTCTGTTGGCATGAATGACAGAAGGTTGTCATGTCAATTAATTGTCATTAGATAAGTCAAGTGATGGTCATGTCTTTTTTTTTCCTTATATAATTGTAAATTGTAACATGTCTTTGAGATTACGCCTAATATAAAATAAAGTATTTTAACACATTTCCAAATATTATTTGAAGAACCTAACAAGCACAAGGATTAACAAACTCACAATCAACAAATAAATAAATATTATTTAAGTAGAGTATATTATTTTTGTTGATAATAGTGGGTCTATTATTAATAGATTTAATAGTTTTGTTATGGTCACTGGAGTTTATAAGATTTTGTAATTTTTTATAATACTCACGTTTCTGGTTGATTTGATCAGTATCTTGATACCAGCTTCTTTACTAAGTTGTTTATCTTTCAGCACTAACCTAACCTTTTCTTTAGATGGTAGTAAATATAACGTTAATTGGTCTAGTTTCAGTGGTGCAAATTTTTCAAGTCTAAAAAATTTAATGCTCTTTCTGTCGATATCAAAATTTTCCAATATGTTGTTTACCGTGTTCAAGTCTTCAGTATTTCTCTCCTGTTGGGTCTTCATTTTGGATTAATTTACAATAATTAACTACAATATTCGACGCTCTCCTCTTTCTGTCCATAATTTCACCAATTAAATCTTCCTTAACACTCAATGACATTTCACCGTTAGTCTTATAACCTTCAACACGAGATTATCACGATGAAATGAATAACGCAAATTTTGTCACGTGGTTAAAAGAAAAATTTATTCCCAATGCACCGAACAAATGCGTATTGGTGCTAGATAATGCTGTTTATCATAACGTACTCTTAGAACCCATTCCAAATTTTTCATGGAAAAAAGATGCAATGCTGAAGTGGCTTTCTGAAAGATCTATTTTCTATCCGCCCAAATCAACTAAGGCGGAACTATTTACAATTATAAAAATGCACAAGCCAATTTTTAAAAATTACGTAATAGACCACATTTTATCACAACATGGCATTGTAACGTTGCGTCTACCACCCTATCATCCCGAGCTAAACCCAATAGAAAAAATATGGGCATTGGTAAAGAACGAAGTAGCTGCTTGCAACGTAACTTTTAAATTGGATGATGTGTGGAAATTAACTGAAAAAAAATTTAGTGAGGTCACTGTAGAGCATTGGAAAAACATTTGCGCTAATGTTACAAAAGTTGAAAATGAGTATCAGGAAAGGGAACATGTTATGGATGAAGTGGCGGATGTAATAATAAACTTACAAGAGAATAGCAGTGACAGTGAAAGTGAATTTGCAGATGATGAAGACGATGAGGACTTAGGTTGCAAGCCACTCATTTAATTGTAAGTTGTATTTTTAAATTTAATCTGTATAACAAAAATAAATTACTATTCTAGTTGATATAACTGTGAACTAGTATAAATTCCCAAATTTTAAGAATTTGTCTTTTTAATATCACTTTATAATTAGTAACGAAATATGATATTTCTGTAACTAGGTCCTAGGTCGTTTGAAATTATTAGTTTTATCTACAAGCTCTCTAGAGATAATGTTTATCCACTTTAATAATAACACTCATTTCGTTGAGTATGTATCAGGTTAAAAATCATATTTTGCGATACAATTATAATACTATAATTTTCAACCTACTTCACCCGGGCTATGAGAATAAATTTATTCTGGCGAACCAGCAAGCCTGATGTTTTCAGTTTTCATTTTAACGTTTCCGTGCACTGTTGCCAGTTAGTTACGCGCAAGTATTTACAAGGTCATAGCTAGTCCGAAAATCAAATACCTATAATTGGCAGTGTTAAGTCCGTTTTACAGCTTGCAATTTTACCTACAAGACGCAAGAAAGTTGCCCAAAGGCATGCGCAGTATGTCGTCAGCTGATTATTGCCTGCAACTTATTGCAGTTGCGCGATAATCGGTTTGGTGCCATTTTCTGTGCAAGTTTTCATGCAAGTCTAGGGGAATTTGTAGGAAGTTTGATTTTTTCACAATGTCAAATGTCATAATCACTGATTGACACGGAGACATGCCGATCAGCTGTTTCCTGTTTTGTTTATTATTTCCTTTCCCACCCATTTGCATTTAGCTTGGCTTGATTTGTAGAATATCGGCTTTTTCTAATTTTAATATTTTTAATTAATACGTTAGAGTATCATCAAAAATTGAACTATCTTCTGCCCGAATTACCAACAATGTCTTGCATAGTCTTGGCATTACGAAATTTACTATCTATCTATCTAAATCAATCCATCTATTGAAATTAATTCTAAATATATCATTTTAAATTCTAATCTAAATATATCGAAATTAATTCTAAATCTATCTATCGAAATTAATTCAATCTATCAAACTAAATCGACTAGTGTTTTAAATAAACAAGTAATTAAAAAAAATCATAAATAAGTTAGGTTAAGAGTAAAAATTTCAACATTAATTGCAAGCTGTAAAGTCGCACATAAAGACCCTGCAATAAATTGCATGAAAGTTAGTCATGCAAGAAGTTGCAGCAAGTTTTCTTGCAAGCTGTAAAGCGGTCTTAATTTATAATTATATACACTTCATCTAATTTATATACCGATGCACGACATCGGCGTCATAGCCTGTGACGTCACATGATACCAACACAAAATATTTAGGGTGTAGGTGTGTTCTATTTTAGAATCACTTTACCGAGTACACTGGCATTACAGCCACTAGACATATTTTATTATATACGCGTAAAAATAATATTTAAAAATTTCTATTTATGTTAACTTAATTAAATACACAATAATATGTTTCATTTAATTTGTATAAATGCATTATAAAGCATATTGTTCCATGTTTGACATTTCTGGCTACAATCAGCTTGTACTTTCGGTAAACTCAACCAACAATTTTTATTTCTGCTGTGACACAGCATTATCTTTAGCAAATAAAAATTACTTTATCGAAGAAAATTTTATATACAAGACTTAGATACAAGAAAACATAAATAACTTCCTATATCAGAAACGATATAAGAAATGATACAAGAAAATGCATAGTGTCATACGGCTTTTACAATGACAACTGTCAGGACGTGACAGATGACAGTAAGGTTACAACAGCGCACAATTTTGTACAAAATCGCATAATTTTTGACAGGTAGGCACAGTATACAGTGCTTTAAGAGAATTCTTTTTAAAGCACTATCACAGAATAATAAACAAACAGAATACCCACTCTCCACGGAAAATTAAGTACGCGCATCTCCTCCGCGC